AGAAGGAAAGACTCTGGGCCGGCCCTGTGGCTTGGTGGTTAAGTGCGCGTGCTGCAATGCTGGTGGCCCGGGTTCGGATCCCGGGTGCGCATCGAGGCACCACTTCTCCGTCCATCCTGAGGCCAAGTCCCACATACAGCAACTAGAAGGATGTGCAGCTATGACATACAACTATCTACTGGGGCTTTGGGGGGAAAAAATAAAATAAATAAAAAATCTTTAAAAAAAAAAGAAGGAAAGACTCAGACGATGCCCCCAAGAGCTGCCAACAGTAGTCAATAGGCCCCCGGCCATAAATGGGGTGCAGCCCACATTTCCGTCTGGCCATCTACATATTCTCGGGGCTCCTAACCTGACAGGTGGTCACCTGCGCGTCTGTGCGCCCCAGCAGACAGAAAGCCAAGCCAAGCTCTCAGCACACAAAAGGAGACAAACAGGAAAGCAGGAGCGGTCGCTGGGACGGAAGGATCCACAATGGGTACCTAAGACCAGATTCACAGGAGCTACAATCCAAAGAACTAATCCTTACAAATGCTTTTCTCTTGCCAATCTGAACCCAGAAAGAAAATGAAAAGGAGAAATTTTTACCATCCTCTCTCAACTGGGCAATGCAGACAGAGATCTGGGAGCCTGACAAGGCAGGAGTTTTTACCTTCTGCCGGCGTAGTCAGGTCCCGGGGTCTCTCAGCTGCAGACGCCGCAGCCAGCAGTGTTTCAGCCAGTGCGAGCCCACCCTCGTCACCAGAAACAGGGGGAGGTGAAAGGTTCCTCCACCTTCCTAGGGTCTCCAGATGAGATTCACACAAGGCAGGCTGACAGGAGAAAAGCATACAAACTCTATTTACATGTACAGGAGAGCTCCCACAAGAAAAATGGAGACCCAAATTAGTGATTAGGCCTAAGTGCTTATTTACTAGGTTGAACAAAGAGTGCTAACTGTGGAAAAGTAATTAAAATATATGGGGAGACCGAAGTAAGATAAGGGTTATTCTAAGGAGGTCTGTACAGATTTCTCTCCGCCTCAACTCCTCATCTTTGGTGCTAAGAGTATTTCTCCCTCCTGGTACAGGGAGGGCATCTTTCCCATGCGAATTTTATCTCCCACTTTCAGGAAGAAAACGGAAGGTCAGCGTGCTCCTTTGCATCTTGCTGTTTTTCAAGTGCCTTGACCTCAAAATCAACCTGCCAGAGCAGTGTCAACTTAAAAGCAAATTTGCCTGTTATTTCCTCTCAAAATGAGTTTATTCAGGAACAGCTAAGAGAAATGCAATGCTGGACTCTCCCACTATGGCAAACCATAGGCAAACTCCGAAAAGAAAGAAGGGGAGCTGCTCTTATAGAGAAACACGGGAGTAGGGCGGGGCTGTTCTAAATGAAAATCCATTGGGGGGAAGTAGCAGTTCAGAGCTGCAGCGTTTCTCATTGGCTGAGCTGTGATGCTTCTCATTGGCTGAGCTGCAGCATTTCTCATTGGCTGGGCTGTTGCCAGGTGGGGACAGAAATCTTCCTTCAGTAGTAAAGCAGTTTTACTTCCTGTCAGGAATACAAAGGTCCATCTCTTCCTGTTTGGTGTAATTGGCTGTGTGTGATAGGGTGTGAGACCTCCCCAAACAAGCAAGCCTTCTGGCCTCCGATTTAGTTAAGGTTTCTTTTGTTAATTTTCACAGCGGCATATTTTGGGGTGGCACGTCTTAAACTCCTTCAACAGAAATGCACAAAATCACAGGTCCGGATATCAAAAGCTGTTCTTCCTGGTGGGCAATAAATTCATTTTTTTTATTTCTTATTGAAGTACAGTTGACATTCAATATTATATTAGTTTCAGGTGTACAACATAGTGATTCAACATTATTTACATTACGAAATAATCATCATGGAAAGTCTAGTTACCATCTGTCAGTATGCAAAGCTCTTACAATATTATTGACTATATTCTCTATGCTGTACATTACATCCCTGTGACTTATTTGTTTTATAACTGGAATTTTGTACCTCTTAATCCCCTTCACCTATTTCACCCATCCCCCTACCCCCAGGTGGGCACTAAATTCTTAATTGATCCTCCATTGTCTCTGAGCCAGCAACCAGTAACCCATCAACAGAGATTGCCAAATGGTCCGACTATAAAGCCAAATGCCCAATCCCTGATGCCACCAATGCTGGTGACATTATCCATCATAAAATTGATACCAGCTCAACACAAGGTTGACATGAGGGAAGCCATGTCGTAGAAAACAAGCCCTATTGTAAGTTTGAATGACCTCTGACACACTAACACAGCTGGATCTGCACCCTCCAGGAGATCTAACTGCTCTGTGGATTTTATGACCCCTGCTTGTGCATGTACCTTCCAGCTGTGATAAGATGATAACTTTGTTCTTTTGAGTTCCTTAGGAAAGTGATGACCCCCAGACAGAGAGTCTATCTGGTGTGGCCACTCCCATCTGTAACACCGGAGGCTCAACATTCCTAACCCCCTCCCCGGTAACCCACTGGCCTATATAACTGCTTCAAGATTCTGTGCCCCCTTAAGATGTTCTTTAGGACACTACTCCTCCCATCTTCCAATTTGCTAGCTTATCACTTAATAAAATGCCCTTTCCCTGCCACCATCTTGCCTCTTGACGATTTGCTTTTGTCTTGCCGTGAGTAGATCTGGCCCTTTGTGCAGTAACAAAAGCATCAAAAACAAGGCACAAGTTTACAGAGAGAAAACAAAAATGAGAAAAACAGAGAACCAGTAAAATTCTCTTACCCCTTTGGAGTTGCCAGGGCTTTGGCCACCATGAAATGCACTTGTCTGTTGACAAAGTTTACCTGACTCTGTCTCGTGAATTATAATTTTTTTTTTAAAGATTTTATTTATTTATTTTTTCCCTCCAAAGCTCCAGTAGACAGCTGCACGCCATAGCTGCACATTCTTCTAGTTGCTGTATGTGGGACGCGGCCTCAGCATGGCCAGAGAAGCGGTGCATTGGTGCGCGCCCGGGATCCGATCCCGGGCCGCCAGCAGCGGAGTGCACACGCTTAACCGCTAAGCCACAGGGCCGGCCTCGTGAATTATAATTTAACTTGCTCCCCTTTTAACCATTTTGAAGCTTTTCCACCCAGATGAAGTAGAGTCTGGAGCCTGGAACCCCAGGCTGAGGTGCTGGACAGCAATAGGAAATGCGGAAGGATAATTTTCCAAACAAAGGTCCAATCATAACCCTCATACAGATGTAAACATGAGCACGCGTTAAAGATCATTGTTAACTCTTTCACGAGGAGAACTGGCCAGGTGTTAAAACCATTTCAAAGGAGACCAAAACAGCAGACAAATCAGGAATGCTAAAATGAACGTACAGAGGGCCAGCCAGGGGGAGTAGTGGTTAAGTCCACGTGCTCCGCTTCAGTGGCCAGGGCTTCGCAGGTGTGCATGCTGGGCACAGACCTGCGCCACTCATCAAGCCATGGTGTGGCGGCATCCCACATACCAAATAGAGGAAGATTAGCTCAGGGCCAATCCTCCTCAAGCAAAAAGAGGAGGATTGGCAACAGGTGTTAGCTCAGAGCCACTCTTCCTCAAAAAAAAGAATGTGCAAATTAAGGCAAAAATAATGGGGGGGGGGGAGTGTCCCTCCCTCTGGCAGAATTCACTTGCATGTCTACAGCCAAAAATTATTTTTTGTTATCAGTTGTAACTAGAGAGTTTATAAAACATCTCCCATAGAATCAGAATTAGAAAACCCTAAAACTCTAAATTAGTAATACAGGGCAATTTTTTTTTTGTAAAGGACTATATAGTAAACAGTTTAGTTTTTGCAGGTCATACAGTCTTTGTTGCAGCTACTCATTGCAGTGAGGGAGTAGACAACACGGAAACAAATGGGCATGGCTGTGTTCCAGCAAAGGTTTATTTATGCCTACTGATATTTGAATTTCACACAATTTTCACGTCACAGAATATTATTCTTATTTCCACCACCACCACCCCGCCCCCGACCTTTTAAAATATGTAAGAAACATGCTTAGGTCATGAGACTCACAAAAACAGGCAGTGACAGGATTTGGCCCACGGGCCATAGTTTGCGATACCGTGCTCCCGTAGGTAATGCACAGATTTCCGTTGAAATTCACATTTTCGGGCCGGCCCCGTGGCTTGGTGGTTAAGTGAGCGTGCTCCACTGCTGGCGACCCGGGTTCGGATCCCGGGCTCGCACCGACGTGCTGCTTCTCTGGCCATGCTGAGGCCGCGTCCCACATACAGCAACTAGAAGGATGTGCAGCTGTGACACACAACTATCTACTGGGGCTTTGGGGGGAAAAAATAAATAAATAAAATCTTTAAAAAAAAAAAAATTCACATTTTCTCCTCCAGGAACTCAGGAGGTAAAATGAAGATATAATTGTTCCTGCAGCAGCACAAAGTTGCTGTGAAATGACTTAATGCACGTAATGTGCCCGGAACAGTGTCTAACGTTTTAATAATTATTATTATTCTGGAACTGAGGTCTCACACCCAGCTAAAGTCAGGACCAAGGTCAACGTCGAAACCAGGCTCCAAGTGGGCTGCGCGCGCAGCAGAACTGGAGCCCCGCCCCCACCCTCGTAAGTCTTCGCCGGACCGGACTTCCGCTCGGGCCGCTGTCATGGCTACAGGCCAGACCCCTTCTCAGCAATTCCGGGAGGATCTGGAAATCTGGAGGCCAGCTCGAGAGAGCGCGGTAACTGTCGAGACTGGCCATCTCAACACGGGGCGGACGAGAGCCAGTGATTTGCCGGCGGAACGTGGTCTGCGATTGGCCAGCGCCGTCCGGGGTTGGCGGCTAAGAGAGCGGACGGTTGCCCGTTGGCCGGCGTGGAGAGGGCGGGGCCCCCAGGGCTGCGCGTCGACGGCCGGCGCGTAAGGCGCGGCGTGCTGCCTCGCTCGGCGACGGGCCCGGGGATGGGATGCCGGTCTTTTATTGGCGAATTCCGCTCGGGGCGGGCCAAGTGGAACGTCGAGCGGTCAGCGATTGGCCGGCGCGGCTGGCGGCGGGCATGCAGACCGCGAAGACAGCGTGCGATTGGCCGGCATGGGCGGGGCGGCCGGCGCCCTGGTTCCTGCGCCCCGGCGGGCGATGGCGGCCGGCGGCTGGCGCTGGCTGCGTGGCCTCTGGGCCGCGGGGCAGCCCCTGTTCCAAGGCCGTGCGCTGCTCGTCACCAACACGCTGGGCTGCGGCACTCTCATGGCAGCCGGGGACGGCGCGCGCCAGTCCTGGGAGATCCGCGCCCGGCCCGGCCAGAAGTTCGACCCCCGGCGCTCAGGTGAGGAGACCGGCGCTGCTGGCCTTTGACGCCGGAGGACCTTTGACCCCGACCTCAGATTCGGAGACCTCAGCCGGGCCCGCCAACCGTGACCCCTGACCCGTGGCCTCAGTTCCCGGCAGGACCCTTGACCTCCACGTGCACCCTAGAGCGTGATAGCCCCTCCCCGGGTCTCGGTCCCCTCCCGCTCAGGGGTCTCCATCCCACCCCACCTCACCCTGTCTCGGTCCCCTCCGCTCGGGGGTCTCCAACCCTCTCATTCCATCCTCTATCCATTCCCTCCCACTCGGGGGTCTCCATCCCACCCAACCACCCCCCGGGTCCGCTTCCCTGGGCCCCCTCGTCCGCTCCCCTGGCTTCCCTGTTGTCAAGGGCGCAGCGCCCTGGACAGCGCCCTGGACCGGCCAGCCTGGGGTCGCGTGCTCGTCTCACACTTCCTTACCCGCTGTGCCTCAGTTTCCTCCTTTGGGAAGGGGTCATGGTAGAACCCCCCCCCCGCAGGGTGGTGAGGGAAGGAGGTAAGAAGATCTGAGAGGAGCCCCTGGCGGGGTCAGGCTTACCCAGGTCTGAGCCAGGGAGGGAGTGGATTGGGGGTTTGCCCGCCTGACGCCCCTGACTCTTCGGGCGCCCTCAGCGAGCATGTTTGCGGTGGGCTGCAGCATGGGCCCCTTCCTGCACTACTGGTACCTCTGGCTGGACCGCCTGCTCCCCGCGTCCGGCCTCCGCGGCCTCCCCAACGTCCTCAGGAAGGTCCTCGTGGACCAGCTGGTGGCCTCTCCCCTGCTGGGCGTCTGGTACTTCTTGGGTAAGGAGCCCTCTGCGCTTGGGCTTGGCCCCTCGTAGGTCAGGAGGGGCAGAGCCAGCTTTGTGTTAAGAGTGTTGAGGTGCACTTCAGATGTGTCTCCTGTGTGGGTGGCCCTGGACTGGGCGCCAGGTCACAGTGGTGACCGGATAGACCCGGTGGGGGCGGGCGTGAGTGGCAGAATCACAGACAATGGTGGAAAGTGTAGAAGGGGCGAGGACAGTGTCTCATGGGGCTGTCTTGGGCAGTGGTTGGGAGGGCTTCCCAAAGAAGAGGACACTCAGCCGAGACTTGAAGAAGGAGCCAGCAGGCGGGAGGAACAGCCCATGGAAAGGCCCTAAGGCTGAAGGAAGAGTTGCTGGGGCCAGGACGATTGCTGGGTTTGATGGGGCGCAGTGAGCCCCGCGCTTGGCTCATTCCCCACCCCCAGGCTCGGTTCTGCATGGATGAAGGGCAGGTAGTGAAGCAGCCTAGCTTCGGGAAGGGTGTCGCCTTCCTTTGGAGCAACTGTTTAGAACCTCTCTCCCTCACTGGGACCACTTGTTCTGTGTCGTGTCCCCACACCGGCCACCCTGCTGGGCCGCCTTTCCCCCATCAAGGCTTCTGAGCATCCTGGTTCCTCGGCCTGGGACACTCCGTCCTTCAGAGGTCCTGTCCCGCCGCGCCGTCATCGGGACTCCGCAGCCTCTGACATCCTCATTTCTTGGTTTCCTTCCCAGGCCTTGGCTGCCTGGAGGGCCAGACCCTGGATGAGAGCTGCCAGGAGCTGCGGGACAAGTTCTGGGAATTCTACAAGGTGGGCGTGCCCGCGGGGACAAGTTCTGGGAATTCTACAAGGTGGGCGTGCCCGCAGGCCACGCCCGCGCGCTAGCCCCGACCCCGCAACCACTGGCCACGCCCAGGTCCCTCCAGGCCCCCGCCCCTCACCTCACTCCGCCCCGCCCCGCAGGCCGACTGGTGCGTGTGGCCCGCTGCGCAGCTGGTGAACTTCCTCTTCGTGCCTGCCCCGTTCCGAGTCACCTACATCAACGGCCTGACGCTGGGCTGGGACACATACCTCTCCTACCTGAAGTACCGGGTGAGCGCGGTGGGCGGCCCAGGCCCCCAGGGGACTCCTCAGGGGCCACACGAGGGCAGTACAACCATCCTCCAGGGTGAGGGCCTCCTGTGCCCACGACACCCGCACCCCACGGTGGGCAGACAGGGAGCTGACGGCCAAGAGGGTTCAGACTGAGCCTAGCTCTGCTGTGATGTGACCTTGGGTCCCTGCCACCTCTGTCCAGGGAGGCTGACGCCAGCCCTGGGACAGATGGAGGAGGGCTGGGTGAGGAGGGGCCTAATGGGGTGTTTGACCACACCCTCTTGTGCAGACAGACCCTGGGCCCCCAGGCGCCCCCAGGCTGCGGGGCCCTGGGCACCATGCAGGCTGAGCTGCCCCACTCCCCGACCGGATGCCAGACAGGGCAAGACTGACCCCCAGCTGACCATCCGCCTGGGCAGGAAGGGGACCGGGCCCCACAGCAGGCCAAGTCAGGGTCCTGGGCTGAGTCCAGCCTCACCCCAATCCCTGGGCCCCTGGCTGGGTTGCCCACTACCCGGCCTCAGTTTCCCCATCTGGAACACAACCATGAAGATGGAGTCATCTCCACCCTTCTCACCAGGAGCCTCAGCGACCAGTGACGGAGATGTCCCATGCTCAGCATGGCGCCCCAGCCAGTCCCAAGCCCCAACCCCTCAATACTGCTATGGGCTCCCCCACGCCCTGGGTCCCAGGTGGGGAAGTGACCTGTCCCCTCAGCAGAGCCTGCCTGGAGTCGCTCGCGGGCTCTGGGGCCATAGGCAGGGCCAGGCAGCCTGCGGTCTCCTCCTCTGTCACGGACTGTGGAGATTCTATTAAATTCTCTCTGTGACTGAAAACCTTGTGGGTGACCACAGCCAGCGCTGGGCCGGCGCTCGTAGAGACACGGCGTCGTCCATTCGCTTTATTGGGGGTGTGTAGTGTTGTCATGACATCTCCTGGGGGGGTGGGGGGTCACATTTGACACTCATGACATCAGAACAGGTCTGGTGGGGGGGGGTCCCAGGGTGGTGAGTACCCACACAGCAGCACCCCCCTCCAAAAAAAGGTAAAACTGGGGTCCAGGAGCCAGGCAGGCGGTTGCCTAGCTTTGACCCACCCGTGGTCCACGATGAGATGCCCACAGCGGCCTCTGCCTACTGGGTCACAGCCAAGGGGCTGGCAGGCCTGGCCACCTCCCATCACCCAATCAGCCTGCCCTGGGGTGTCATCTGCCCCCCTCTTCAAAACCTATAACTGTTGATGGGGGTGAATTAAAAAAAAGTTGGGGTCTCGAGAGGAGAGTGAGCGGTGAGTTCACAGGGCCACGACACGCCATGGCAGAGTGGGGACAGGGGTGTATGTACAGGGTGGGGCATGGGTGGGTGGGGCGCCCGAGCCCCTGGGGGACATCTCCAATAAATAAATAAATAGCTACGATAATAAATAAGGTGACGGGCCACGCTGGGGCAGGGGTCTCACACCGCCGTCGGTGGGGGCCGGGTCAGACCCCGGGAGGGTGGGGCGCAGGGCAGGTCTCAGCAGGCGCAGTCCTGGTGTGGGGGCGCCTGCTGGTCCGTGAGCTGGGGGCCCTGCTTGGTGCCGGTGACCGCGGGGTCGGCCGTGTCCAACGACTCGGACATCTTCTCGCAGATGACGTCCACCAGGCGCTCAAAGGTCTGCTTGACATTAATGTTGTCCTTGGCACTTGCCTCAAAGAACTCGAACCCTGCGGTCACAGACAGGAAGGGTGAGGGCCCTGGTACTCCCACTCGCAGAGAGCTCTGAGGCCAGGAAACAACCGGAGATTCCCAGTGCCGACTGCACGATGAAGGCACTGACAAGTCCCGTGAGGAAGCAACATTGGACTGGGTCAGCCCTGTATTTCCTGCACTTCTTTCTCTACCTAAAACTGTGCCCTTTTCATTGTCTTCAGGGCTCTGGCAAGACCCACTTCCCTGCTCTCACCCTCCATCCTAGCCCCATGCATTGGCCCTGGCAGCACCTACACTCACATCCAGCCGTGCCCTCCCTTGCTCACACACACTCCATGGTTCCCTATTGCCCTCAGCATGTGGTTCAGGCCACATTTCCTCCAAGTGATCCCTCGTATTCCAGCCGTGTAAAATTATTTGCCAAAACACACAGGATGTTTCCCACCTCTGGCCTTTGCCTAAGCTGTTTCCTCTGCCTGAAAGACCACCCTTTCTTCAAGCACCAGATGCAGTGCCCCACCTCCCCCAGGAAGTCATATCTACAGCAGGCAGAGCCTGGCTCTCCCAGTCCAAGTCCCTCCCTCTACCCCACAAGACTGGAGGCCTCTTGGGGGCCCAGCAACTCCCAGCACGAGGCTAGGCCGTGAAGGTTTCAGAATGAATCAGTAACTTCTGCATAGTGAACTCCTACGAAGCCACCCAGATCTACCTCAGATGGCTCCTGGATCAAGGCCAGTTTGCAGGAAGTGAATTGTCTAGATTCGAACCCAGGCCCTGTCCTGGCTTTGCTGTGGGGCGGGGGGTGTCCCCTCCCTGCAGGGCCTGTCTCCCTTTTCTAGCCTGTAGGTGTCCAGCCCTGCTGGGCACTCACCCAGGTGGTCAGCCAGCTGCCGGCCGCGTTCTGATGACACCACCCGCTCGTCCTCCATGTCACACTTGTTCCCCACCAGCAGCACCTGGGCATTGTCCCACGAGTAGGTCTTGATCTGGGTTGACCTGGGGTGACGTGAGGGTTAGGCCTTGGAGGGTCCCAGCTCCACCCTCCTGCCTCGTCTGCCCCTCGCTCAGCCCTCCAGCCCCCACCTCCCCGCTACCCCGACCGTGGCTGGCGCCATGCCTCCTCGCAGCCTTTGTCTGGCCGGGAGCACTCTCCTCTCTCCTGGTGTCTGCTCGAGCGGGCCCCTGATTGTGGAAATGCCTCTTTAACAGCCTCTCCCACCCTTCCCAGATCCCTGCCCCCCAGAGAGAGGAATTTTTCCCTCCTCTGCAAATTCACAAATTTTCCTAAAATTTACCATTACTGCTGGACAACAAATATAACTGTTTATATCCTCTGGCCTGTGCAAACCATCCTTATGTTTTCTGTCCACCCCCCATATTTTTTTTCCTATATGTTTACAGTTTCATTTTCTACCTGAAATCCTTTCTTCTCATTATTTTGAGCTGGTGCCACCCTGTTTTAATAAGTATAGATTGACAGCAGGGCTGGGACCCCCAATATTGTCATTTACATTCCTGCCAGGGGGGCTGGGGCTCCCTCATCTTGGCCTGTGCCCCAGGCTGTGCACCAAGCCTGGCTTAGAAGATGGTCTGCGGGGTCCGCCCGGTGGCGCAAGCAGTTAAGTGTGCGCGCTCCACTGCAGCGGCCCGGGGTTCGCCGGTTTGGATCCCGGGCACGTACCGACGCACCACTTGTCAAGCCATGCTGTGGCAGCGTCCCATAAAAAGTGGAGGAAGATGGTCATGTTAGCCCAGGGCCAGTCTTCCTCAGCCAAAAAAGAGGAGGATTGGCAGATGTTAGCTCAGGGCTGATCTTCCTCACAAAAAAAAAAAAAGAAGAAGAAGATGGTCTGAGCGGGGATGGGGGTGTGCTCACCAGTCCTGCACAGCATTGAAAGACTCCTCGTTGGTGATGTCGTACATGAGGATGAAGCCCATGGCGCCCCGGTAGTAGGCTGTGGTGATGGTCCGGTACCGCTCTTGCCCTGCTGTGTCCTGGGGAAGAAGAGCAGGAGGTCAGAGAGGACCCACATGTAAGCTCCTCAGAGTAGAAATGAGCTCTGAGATCGTCCAGTCCAGCCCCCAAGAGGGCCAGAGAGGAGCAGGGGCTCGCCCAGAGGCACAGTGGGTCAGGGAAAGTGAGCAGCCCTTGCGCCAAGAACGTGGTGCTCCATCATCCTACAGAGTCTGTTACCTGCAGAATCGTTCCCGCATTCATTCAACTCACATACACTGGGCGCTGACCAGTGCCACACTCGGCACTGGGCACTGAGGACACAGCTGATAACAAAATGGACGGAAATCCCTGCCCTTGTGGAACCGACATCCCAGTGCAGGAAAGACAGCAAACACGTGCAAAGGAAGAAAACAGATCCATCTTTGGAGAGGGGTAAGGGCTGCGGAGGAAGATAGAGCCGAGCGAGGATGGGCAGTGTGGGCTGGGGCGCGGCTGAAAATCCCGGCGGAGGTAAGGAAGGGCTGTGTGGGCCTGGGGGAAGACTGTCCAGGTGGAGGGCACGGCCTGTCACAGGCCCTGAAGCTGGGCTGTGCCAGCATGTTTGAGGGACGGTGAGGAGCTGAGGAGAGGCAGGGAGCAGACGGGGGAGGGGCAGGGACAGCCCAAGCGGGCCTGCTGGGCCAGGAGAGGGCTGCGGGCAGAGAAGGGATGGTTGTGACAGGATTTAATGGGCTCCCTCAGGCCAGGGAACCCTGGGGATGAGGCTGGGAGCCAAGCTTCAGTAAAACTTCACACAGACTCACATGAAAGAACTTGAAGATGGGGAAACTGAGGCACCAGGCCAAGTGATGCTCCCAAGGAAGGGTAGGAAAGGACGAAGGATTTGCTCCTGCCCTACCCCTGGAGAGCACCAATTAGGCGCAGATGGGAGAACAGATGCACTCTCTTCTATGTCTCTAGCCCGTGGTACACAGTAAGTGCCTAATAAATGCCTAGCACGTGCATGGATGAATGCAGACAGCAAAGAGATAGGTCAAGCTGGGGCCGCTTTTCCGGGGAGCCAGACTGACGGAGCCAGGAACCCCCGGCCGGACCCACCCAGATCTGCAGCTTGATCCTCTTGTCGTTGCGGTAGATGGTCTTGACCTTGAAGTCGATGCCCACGGTGCTGACGAAGGCGGGGGTGAAGGAGTCGTCCGCGTAGCGGAAGAGGAAAGACGTCTTGCCCACGCTGCTGTTGCCGATGATGAGGATCTTGAACATGTAGTCGAAGTTCTGGTCCGAGGACTCCTTCTGCCCGTAGCGCGAGTCTGTGGCGGACGCCATCTGGGGGTGCGGGGGCGTAGGCGGGCGTGAGGGGTCTCCCTCCATCCCCAACCGCCCAGGCCCAGGCACAGGACGGAGAGAACCCCAGAGCTCCAGAGAGCCCATCAGGAGCCCCAGGACCTACGGTGGGACCCACCGCAGAGGGCGGGCGTGCAGTGACCTTGAAAGGCGAGAGGTTTCAGGGGAGAAGCTCAGAGCGACGGGGATGGGGACACCCCTGCAGCCCCCTCCAGCAGACCTGAGCCCAGGTCGGGCTGTAACCCTAAACCCTACCGCGCAGAGACGGGTGACTGCGGCCGGCCCCGCCCCCCATCAATCATACATGTTCCTCAGAACACAGCCACGCGGGCACACGTGCACACTCGTGTACAGTCCCGCGGGGACGCGCGTCAGCAGCCCTCCTTCCCCCAGACTCCCAGGCTGGGAGAGCTCCGGCTGAAGAGGCTGCATCACGTGACAGGGGCGGGGTGTGCACACGTCAGGGCACACACTCACCCGCACATGCGAGTGCACATATGAGCGTCGGACACAGTCGGTGCACAGGACAGAGACGCAGGCACCTGTCTGCACACCTAAATGCATACACAAATGTGCAAACCCACCGTGCGCACGGCGCCCTCCACCCATGCAGGCGTGTAGACGTTACCCACACGGGCACGCATCCTCGTGCACGTAGGCACCCGGCCGTGCACGCACACGCACAGTCCACGCGTCTCCCTCCACACGCGTGCAGCACGCACACACTTGGGTCGGACCCCCACGGGGTCACACGAGCATGCCCTGGCACACAAACAAGGGTACACACAGACCCGCCGGCACAGGCGGACGCGCACACGCGTGTGCACACCACGCGCACGCGCACGCACAGAGCCTCCCGCGCGCACAGCTTCCCGCAAGGCATTCGCCTCCCCTCCCCCTCCGCCGCAGAGCCGGGGGTGGGGGGGTGGGAGTGGTGAGGATCCGGCAGGTAGGGGAAGCCGGGGCCCTACCTCTCCCAGACCCGCGACCGCCGCATCCTTCCCCGCCATTTAACCCTCGCCAACCTCTTCCCCCACCCCCGCCAGCCCATCAGTCAAATGAAGGTTATGTAGGTGCTCGAAGCGAAGCGAACCGGGCCGCCCGGGAGCTCACCTTGCCCTGCACCGATGCAGTGGCGACCCCAGCGGCGGCGACTTTTTGTTAGCGGCGGTGACGGGGCCCCGTGCTCTGATGTGGGGCTGCGCGGCAGCGGCGGCGGCGGCGGCTCAGGCCCCTGCAGTCCGCGGTGACGTCCTGCAAAGAGCGGGGCGGGGCCTCACATGCAGATGTTGCCGTGACGCCATCCTGAGGCGGAGCCGCGCATAGCGATGTGGCCCACTGACGCGCTCAGAGCTGGGGGGCGGGGCTCCCGCGCAGATGGACATGCAAATGGGGCGGGGCCCAGCGTGCGCACCCAGTAGCGGGCGGGGGCGGTGCAGGCGGGGAGGATCGCCTGCCGGCTCCGCCTCTCTTTCGTGTTACGGAGGCGTGGCTGTGCGGCGCCTTCTCACTGGCTTCAGTGCTTGAGCGACGGACTGAATAGCCAATAGAGGTCGTCACTCTCTTCTCCTGTCCAATGGTGGCTTCTGAGTGGTTGAAGAGCCGACAGGTTGAGGCCTTGGCCGAGCGTGGGTCTTCAGGGCACGTTCCCCTTCCCCGCCCCCGCCCACCTCCGGTCAGGGACTGCAGCGGCCGCCGTCCGGGCTTAGGTGCTGTGACCTCTCGTTAAAAGCCCCCTACTTCCAATTTCAAAAGAGAGGAACAGAGGTCCGAGAGATGCTCCATGTCCCCTATTTATGGGGTTCAAATAAGTACGAAAGAACAAAAAGAGTAAATAGAGGTCAAGAGAGACCCGTCCAATTTCTGAGATGTAAATCCCGCAAAGAGAGCCCGGCTGGTAGCTGCTCCACCCTGTTTCTCAGACAAAAAAGGAGCAAGAGGAAATAGGAGTCCAGAGAGCCACCCCTCCTCATCAGTTCCCAGAAAAAAGGAAGGGGCTGGCGGGCGCTCCGGGAACCCCTCCCCTCCGTGCGCCCCATTTTCCAGAGAAAAATTCAAAGAAAAGGCGGAAGGAGGGCAGAAAAGGGTCTGTCCCCTAAAGCCCCAGAGCCTGCGGTTACAGGAAGGGTCCGAGCGAGGTTCAAAGACCCAACAATAAAGACGCGGGATGGGACGTGCTGTACCCACCCCAGATCCTGAGTCCAAAGGCGGGACGGAGAGACCCCTCCTCCATCCTGGGGAAACAAGACTCAGAGATGGAGATTTTGGGGACTGAGTTGCTCCATCGTTTATTCCCCCAAGTCTTAAAGGGGTAAAGTTAGAATTGAGGGGGGCTCGGGAGAGTGAGACCCGGGCCCCCATCCTAGGTCCCTGCCCCCCGACTCCTGTCCCCAGACCCGGCAGGGGCGGGGTGCGGCCCCAGGAGAATGCTGACCGCCCCCATTCCTCCCCAGCAGGCAGGGATGGAGCGGGGGGCGGGGGCCGGGCCTCGTCCTGGTTATAGAAGGCTCTCCAGCTGCGGAGGCGCCGGGAGACCAGAATAACTTCTCGCCTCGAGGCCGCCCCCGCCCCCAGCGCCCTGGAAGCGCAGGGACGTCGCTCCCGCTCCGCTTGCATTTGGGAAATCTATTTTTTCTAAGGCTAACGTTGTCCTTCTCCCCCACTTGGACTATCGAAGTACCACGAACCCACCGCAAAGAATTGGGAAAATGACATAAAAAATAGATGAAAGTAAATCCACCACAGTCTCCCCCCACGCAGAGACCGGCAGTGGAGTCCCCGCTCTGGGTGGGGCCCCAAGCGCGGCTGGTCCGCCCCGGCCGCGGCCCCTTGGCGGTGAGGTCGTGCGAGGCCGCTCAGCTCCCCGACCGCCCTAATGCAGGCTTCCTCGGGCTTTGTACGCGGATGGCGCTCGGAAGTCCCTACTCGTTTTTTCTCATGGGGAGAAAGCCCACAACAACGTGCACCAGCTTCTGCACAGACGACTTTGTATTTTAAAACAAAAATAATGGAAGGCCTATGTTGTTAAGAATCAGCATTCGGCTCTGGAATTAGGGATGGTTGAGCGCCAGGGTGGGGGTGGGGGAGACGGGACTGTGGATTTGTGGGGGGGGGGTCTCCTGCGTGGCAGGGGAAAGAGCCAGTGGGAGAAGGGCCTCAAACTCTCCCAAATCTCACCCCACTCTGAGTAAAGTCCAGACTCCTCCTGGAATCCCAGGTCCCACCAGCTACCTCCACATCTTATCTTTCTCCTCCAGTCAGACACGCCCTCCTCTGGCTCTAGGTGCAATCCTGCCTCAGGGCCTTTGCACCTGCTGTTTCCTCTGCCTGGAGCACTGTTCCCTCAGCCCACCCCGTGTCTGGTTCTCTCATCCCCTTGAGGTCTCTGATCAACACCCACCTCCTTCCAGAGATTCCAGTTTTGCCCTGTCACCTCCTGTCACATCCCCATGAGAAGTGATCATGTTGACTTATTTATCCATTAGGCATCTGTGAGCTCTGAGAGGCAGGGATTGTGTCCCCAGCACCTAGACCTGTGGACACAGTCAGTGCCCTGTGATGGCATGACATGAATGAATGAGTGATTGGAGGGAGGGTGACTTTGGCCAGGGAGATTAGGGAGGACCTCTCTGAAGACGCGACATTTAAGCAGAAACCTGAGGGAGGAGGAGAAGGAGCTGGCCACAGGGAGAGGTAGGGGAACAACATGCCAGACAGAGCAGCACGTGCAAAGGTCCTGAGGCCGGAACTCACTAAAGAAGCTTGAAGGACAGCCCCTCTCCAGTTCTGGGAGGGAGGTAGGACAGGCAACATTTTCTCCTTTAACAGAAGGCAAACCAAGGTCCTGAGAGTCACGCTAGGAGTTCACCAGGGCTGAAAGTTCTAGGGGCCCTGAAGACCTTCTCCCACCCTCCTCTTTGGGTCTAGGATGGGCCACAAAGGCAAGGACTGTGCCCCTTGGGAAGGGCCCCAAGCAGAAGAAAATTGGGGACCTGGAGCATGGGCCTCGATTTCCACATCTGTGAAATGGGAGAAGAAAGAGGCAGAGTTGATCTGACTTTGAGCAGGTGGCTCAGTGCCTGGCTCAGGACACACTCTCCTCAAATGTCACCCTCTGCAATTATGTGGTCCTCACGAAGAGCCCATTTCAACCGGGGAAAGGACAAAGCCTCAGGGAGGTGAAGCAACTTGCTGAAGCTGTCGAAGTCCATCTCTGGGGGACACTGAAGATGGCATGGTGGACCTGGCCCAGGCCTCTGGGGATCACGGTGGAGGGGCCAGGGAGGGCTTCCTGGAGGAAGAGACACTGGGATGAGGCCCAAAGGGTGAGGATGAGGGGGAGAAGTAGTCCAGGTGGTGGGCACAGCATGTGCAAAGGCCCCGGGGCAGGGCCGTGCTTGGGGTGTGGAAAGCCATCGTGGGTGGAGTGTGCTCAGTACTGGGGAGAGGGAGGGATGGCCTGTGGCCCAAATTGAAGGGGAAGGTATGAATGTTCTCATGAACGGGTGGAGAAAGAACTAGAGGGAAATCAGATGAAATACTGAAGGCAGATGATCTATGGGTAAAGTTATAGCATAATTTTATTTTTTTCTGTATATATTTCCATTATTTCCAAATTCTCTACAGTGAACAAGTATTACTTGTAAGTAAAGGGGGAGGGAGAAAAAATTATAAATAAAAATCCCCTAAATCTCTGCCTTTTAAAAGTCTGGAAGGAAAGGTACCAAGTTCCCGACCCAGATGACCTTTAATTCCCCCTCTGTGGCATCTGCCCGTTAGCTGTGATGGTGACTGGAATTGTCGGTGGAATTATTGAGGGAGGAAGCCGGGAGCCGCTGCAAAGCCTGTGGCATGTATATATTTTCACACTCGGGGAGGGAGGCGCGGGGGGGGATACTGAGGCTTGCAGAGGCTGGAATCGAACCCGAGACTTGAGCACCGAGCCGCCTCATCTGCTCCCCGAGAGGCCGCCCCCGCCCCAGGAAGAGCTCGACCAAACCAGGCGCGGTGGGGCTGCCGCTGGCGCACGTCCAGCGCCCGGCTGTGGGCCTAGAGCGGGCAATAGAATTGCTCTGCGCCTCAGTTTCCCCATCCGCGAAATGGACACGGTACTAATTTTGTGTAATAAGGTTCATTTAACCCCAGAAAATGTTCAATGCCCCAACTTTCTAAGGTATTTCAGGGAGGTCACAGACACCACCCCTCAACCAAAGTTTACCCAAGGACTAGCATAGGCCATAGACGGGCAACTGAGGCCCATAACGGGCGATGATTGGCAAGAAGGGTCAGAGGCCTCCTTTCCCCTAGGGAGAGTCCGGGGCAGTCTCAGAATGAGGAAGGCAGAGACCTGCGGGGGCGGGGAGGGGTGTGCAGTGGTATTCTGTGCTTTTGTTGCTGTTCTACAAGAAAGAGAATGTGGGGGACCCCACAGGGGGTTCTGAGGCTAGAGAGAACAGGGAGCATGTGCACCTGGAAACCCCACCAAAGAAGAAACGACAACAACTTAAAGCCACAGGTGGTGCAGACAGTGACAGGCTACATCAGCCTTCAGAGACGTCCTGACAGTCCTCTCTGCCGCGCCCGCCCCCGCCCTAGGGAGCGGCTGGGTCTGGACGGAGCTTTGGTGCTGAAAATCCCCCCACTCAAGGCCCCGCTCTCTCGCAGCGAGCCGCCTGGCTGACGGTGGGAGGCGCCTGTGGGGCATCTCCTTGAGGCTGACTCCCCACCCCTGGGCAGGGCTACCCCCGAGGCAAGCAGCAGGCACAGGCCTGGCACATATCAGGCCCAATAAATACCTGACAGAGAATGAAAGGATGAAAGAATAAAGTGATGGATTGGCTCAAGAGCGAGCACTGGAGAAGGTGGGCAGAGGGCCTGGCAGACACCCCCTTTCCACACCAGGGGTGGAAGTCCAGGAGCGAGAGCCCAAGGGCTCTGGAAGAGGCTACCCCTAGCCCAGCCCCTTGGAGAGCTTTCTCAGCAGAGCTTTGGGGTCAGAGTGGACCCCAGCCAGGTGCCTCCAATTCGACCTTGAGATGTGCCTATAACTAAAAGTTTGGTTGTCACTCTCAGTGGGTGGGGAAGGCAAGGCAGGGGCCATCTGGGACCTCTTCCTGGAAAGTCCACCCACCCACCAGGAGCCATTAGGTGCCACATGGCTCAGCCATCACGTTGCCCTCACGTTCCACACAGGGCTTGCCCACGGACCCCTGGTTGTCCAGGAGCAGGGCCCCAGGGTCCAGGCTGGCCTCAGGGGACAGGGACTCAGTGTCAGGTGACTCCGAGGCCTCCTCCTCTACCTCTCCTGCCTCCTCCAGAGGCAGCTCAAACTGGAATCTGTTGGGGCCAGCTGGCTCGGGGCTGGCGGGGTCCACGGGGCTTCGGGGGACCTTGCTCTGGTACCACTCGCGGTTGTCCTCCAGTGTGTCCAGCAGGTCCTGGGCATCTGGGTGCACCAGGTCGGCCCACGTCTCCCATAGCGGGTGGGCAATGTAGTCAATGAAGCCCACCTGTGGGGAAGTGCGGGTGCGGGAGACGTGGCTATGCTGTGAGTCACCAGGGAACCTAGACCCAGTCCCGCCGCGGTTGTTCCCTCTGCCTGGAATGCCATTTCCTAACTCCTCCTCATCCTTCAAAACCCTCTGCAAACAACCTCTCCTCTAGGAAGCTTCCCCAGACCCTTTGGGGCTCACTCAACCCCTGGGTCTCTCCCTCCAGCCCAGTCCTGACTCCTCAGGGCTGGACGGATGTGTCCCCCCCGGCCCCCAGAATGGACATTTCCAAACCCCGAGAGGACAGATCCCTCTCCTGCAGCCCAGGGAGAAGGCAGCCCAGGCCTGACCCGGCGCAGCCCAGCGCAGACTGCACCCTTGGGCCGCACCCCGCCCCGGCCCAGCCGGCCACTCCTGTCCCGCCCCACCCCCTGCCCACCCGCTGGGCCGGCACTCTCGGACCTGGGACTTCTCGACCGAGGCCGTGTGCTTGTCGCACATGGGGCTGATGTCCAGGCCCGACTGGCGCTCGCGGTCGCCCTGCTGGAAGAACTCGGCCATGACGCGCTCCGTCCACCGGCGGTACAGGGGCAGCGGCTTGGTGGGGTTGCTGAGGTCGGCACAGTGCACCAGGTTCTGCAGGACCTGGGGAGACCGGGCTCGGGAGGGTGCAGGCCGGGCCACCCCTCGGCCTGGTGCCCCCCCGAGGCTGGCACAGCGGACACAGTCATCTTATGAGTGGGGAAACCGAGGCCCGGGAGCAGAAGGAATGGCTGAGGCACAGGCCTGTGACTCCCGGTGCCTCCGTTTCTTCAAGTTTGGCACACAGTCGGTGCCTCATAAATGCAGCTAAATGAGAGCCAGAGAAACCGAGGCCAGCCTGCCTGGCCGCACACCTGGATGCGGTCGGAGTAGTTGTCGAGCAGCAGGACCCCGAGGCTTGTCACCTTCTTGGTCTCCACCATGGTCTTGAGGTCGGCCAAGAGGCTCATGTGTTTGGACATGTCAGTGGCCAGCACCTGGGGGCAGGCGAGGGTGGGTGCCGGTGAGGACGGGGCCTGCCCCACCCCGCCCCACACTCCCTGCCCAGATGCCACACCCACGAGGTCGCTCAGCCTGCCCTCCAGCCCCAGTGTCCCCTGTGAAATGGGGGATGCAGTGAGACTTGGTGCAAACCCAGCTCCCAAGAGCGGCTGAGCCAACAGTTCCTTCCCCTCGGGGGCTGGGCTTGGCCATGCACCCACATTGGGGACAGGGCATGGGGAGGGAGGCTGAGCCTGGGGGCTGAGGGGAGATGTGCCTGCGGGCAGCGGTGAGCCTGTGCAAAGGCCCTGGGGCTGAAGCCCAGACCCTCGGCGGCCCCACCATCTGCCTGGGAACGGCAGCCAGACCCGAGCACCCCACCCAGGCCCCACTTTACAGACCAGGAGGCTCAGGCTCAGAGTGGGCACACGTCTGATTTGGACTGAACCCCCAGCCAGGCCAAGATCGCCCGCCACATCCATCGTCGTGGCCTCACCATATCGATGACCATCCTGCGCAGACTCAGCCGCTGTTTGGCACTGAGGTTCTGGAAGATGTCACAGTTCTCTGCCTGCAGCAGCTTGAAGCCCACGGCCAGGTGGTGGTTCTCCAGCACGGAGGCGTCATTGTACATGAGCGCCAGCTCTGAGTCTGTGTAGGAGGCGGATAGCCTCAAGACATGCCCGCCCAACCCACTACACCCAAAGGCAGGTTTTGTGGCTTCCTGGCAAACTCCTACTCATGCACTGAAGCCCCAGTGCAAATGCCCCCTCCTCCACAAAACCCTCTAGGACCCTGTCTCCCTCCCTGGCCCTGCCCTGACTCTGCAGGGCTGGGAGCATCTGTGCTCAGCTCTGCCTCCTTGAGACTAGGGGCTCCTTGGGGACTTGGCATGGCAGGAGACAGTGCATACTGAAGGCTGGTTGAATGAACGACTGAGTTCGTCTTCTTAGACTCTGGGATCCTCGAGTGAGAAGGCTCCACTCTCATCCTCAGCTCTTCAGGGATGGAATACGAGGTGCCCAATAATTGCTTGTTGACTGAGTTTCTCAGACTCCTCAAAGGACCCTGAACTTTAAAATCTTGGTAGGCCCAGATTAACTCTGCCACATGTTATTCTCTCATTTACTGAGCACCTACTGTGTACCTGAACCTGCTCTGAGCACCTAGGGAAGTGTTGTCTCAGCCATTTCACAAAGTGGGAAGCCAGGCTCAGGGCAGGAACGGGCGGCCGGAGATCACATGATTGACAGGTGGAGGCAGGGCCCCCTCGACTCACTGGTGTTAATGAGAAACTGGTTGGAGACCCCGGGATGGTCCACGTCATGGATGGCGCTCGCGAAGATGGCAGCCAGGACTTCCAGGTCTGTGAAAACGGCCTAAGCGGGCGGAGGGCATGAGAGATGGGGGGGGCTCTGCGCTCCCTGCATCCCCCCTAGCTGTCCAAGGTCGCAGGGCAGTACCTCAAGGGCGGGTGTGGCCAGCAGCACGTGTGTGGACTGGGCCACATCAGCGGCGTGGAGACTGTTGTGGTAGGCCACGTCGGCGTGGTAGTGGCCCTCCAGCGTCAGCAGGTAGGTGACAAGCATGTCCGCTGGGATCTGAAATGTCTTGAGCAGGTCCCGCTCCTGGGCCATCGCAGGCCCAGTCAGGGCCTTGACCTCTGGGCAGCAGTACACACTGCTCCCAGGCCTTCTCTCCTTCTGAACTCCTATCCATCCCTCAAATGCCCACTTTTCAAAGATGCCCTCCTCTGCTCTCCCTCTGAACTCCCTTGGGCTCTATCCTTCCTGTCTGGTCCATCCCTGATCCCACAGAGCTGGAGGTGTCTTTGTCCAGCTGTGTCCTCCAAGACTGGGTCTCTTCAGGGCCAGGCCCAGGGCTGAGGCTTGTTGAAAATGAACTTCTCAACCTAGTGAACTCCTATTCATCCTCCAATACCCTGCTCAAATTATCCCATTTAGGAGTGTCAGGGAGGATTTGAAGAATGAGTGTCCCCTGAGGTCTTGGGCTAGGAAGATGTGAAGGAAACCCCAGGGGTATTGGAAGCCAAGGCCAGGGGATGTACCTGAAAGATGCTGAATATAATGGCTGTGAGGGGCCGGTTTCCGCTTAGCTCTGCCACCTTGAACACATCAAGCCCCCACTTGTTGGTGTCTTCCAGTTCCTAAAACGTGAAGAACCAGAGCTTAACTCCAGTCCAGCCCCCCAAGACTCCGGACCCTCGACCCCCCGACCAGGCCCCAGGTCCTACATTGAGCCCCACCTGCCCAGTATTCAAATGGGCAAAGCGAGGCCCAAGACAGGGCCCCCAAACAGACCCAGGCGTCCAACCCGGGTCTCGGCAGTCCAGCTGGGGACCCACCTTGGCCAGCTGCCCCTCCTGGTCAGTCTGGACCCCAAAGCGTGGGATGGTGGCTGCAGAAAGGCTGGCACTATGGGGGAGCCCACGCAGGCCACTGATCTGGGACATGGGCCTCGGGGGCTCCGTGGGGGTCACCCTGGGCAACTCCACCTCAGTCTGCTGGTCTGTAGGTGGGGCAGAATAGGGCTCAGAGAGGCCGATTCACTGGCTGGGGTCATCCTGCCTGGCCTCAGGTCCCGGACCCTGCCAAGCCTCAGGATCAATCTACATATTTCCTTTTTACCCGGATCAAAGTAAGCTTGGAGTAGTTGTCTCCAAGTCCCTCTCTGGCCTGTAGCTACCCCTCTCCTCTGTTCATGGCTGATCTCAGTGACCCCTTCTGCTGGATATGGCCCTTCGGCAACTGAGTCTCAGTATTTACCCCCAAACAGCCAAATGTCCTTTCCATCTCCCTAGCTGGAGACCTAGCTGTCTGGTTCCCACCGTCTCCTCCTTGGCAAACTTCTACTCCTACTTCAAAACCCTAGCTTTAATGTCTCCCTCCTCCTGAAAGTTCCTCCTGTTCCTCCCTCTGGTCTAGCCCTGACCCATAGGGTTGGGAGTGTCCCTGTCTGGTTCTGTCTTCCTCAGATTGAGGTCTGGAATAGAAGTCTTCCTTAATCTTCTTTCTCCCTACCTCTATAATGCAGCCCAAGCAGTGAGCCCCCACAGCTCACCCAGGAAGGTTCGGGATATGTACTGGGACACCTGGTTCCCAGAGTGGCTGGTTTCCGACAAGTGGGTCAGCTCTCTGCACAGCATCCGCTTGAACTGCAGGGGAAGGCGAGGACAGTGACGTGGGGCCCTGCGGGCAGAGGCAAGTGCTCTCGGCGCTCTGGCCCTCCTCACCTTGTTGGAGGCCATCTCCCCCACCGAGTGCCGCGTCTGCAGTGTCTCCAGCTGATCCAGACACCAGTCCAGCTCATCCAGGGTTTCCAAAGCCAGCTTCTGCCCAGTGTCCTCTGGGGGCCGAGCTGGTCAGGGGCCTGCCCCACCCCCACTCAGGGATCCTGCATTCCTCATGCCTCCATCTCTGCATCTGGACCCTGGAGCCCTTCCCAGTAGGGCCACTGGGGACCCCAGGATCTGAGCTGATCTGTCCCCAAGTGGCTGTGTGACCATGGACAGGTCTCTGCCCCTCTCTGGGCCTCAGCCTCCCCATCTGTAATATGGGCTTGGCAGACTCCATCCTCGAGGGTGTTTTGGGAGGTTACAATTAGCACAGCCTAAGGACTCATGGGCCGGAGAGGTCACCATGGAGAAGAAGTTCACAGCTGTCCCGCAGGGGGTAAGGGGGTAGGAGCAGGCGCATTACCTGTAGGTGGGGGGTGCTGACTGCCAGACGGCGGGTTCCCGACGGATGTCTGCCTGCGGTACCGCCGGCTCAGAGCTGGCCTGCCTCGCGCATATGGCCCCGCCCCCATCTAGCCTGCCGCGTTGCAGCCGCACCCTTTTTGGCCGGGCCCCGCCCCGCCCCCACGCCCAGTTTGCGGCCCCGCCCCCTCCACCCGGCCCCGCGCTTCTCTTCCCCAGGCCCCGCCCCGGCGCCGGCACTCGTCGGCCCCGCCTCTCTCCGCCGGGCCCCGCCCCCGCCCCGCCCTCTGCGTACTTGGCGACTGAGCGGCCTTGCAGGTGGGCAAGGGCCGCAACGTTGTTTCGAACCGTACGGAGACTGGCGAGGACCTGTCGGGAAGGGGGTCGGCAGCGTTGGAAAGGAAGGGTCGGCTCCGCCTGCTTGGCTTACGGGAGGAGGGGGGAGGGAATGGGCACCTACCTGGGCAAAGGGCGTCACAATCATGTCTTCTCCGTGTCTGCGGGGAGACGGGACATCAGGAAGGGCGGCCAGGAGGATCCCTCCCGCGCCTTCCCTTCTTCCAGCTTTCACCCACACCATGCCCTCAGCTCAGCGCCTCCTCCCCTCATGACCTCCTCCTCGTCCCTGGGCTCGCCTCACCCGACCCTCCTCTGAAAGCCTCCACAGCTCCTCTGACCAATTGCTCACTTTATCGCATCTTACAAATGGGTAACCTGAATCCCAGGGGCAGCAGGGGTCTTAGTAGAGGCAGGGCGGAACTTATTGTATTTCCCTTTTTATTATGGCTACCAGGAAGCTCAAATCAAGGTGTTTGTTCAGTTGCTGCTAATTGTTAATGTTTCTGGATTGCCACCCAATCCCAGCCCAAAGTCAAGCACAGAGGATCACCAGATATCATTCTTGGCATGCTCGACTGAATATGTGAGCTGTATGGCAAACTCCTACTTAAACTTCAAAGCCCAGCACAAATGGCCACTTGAAGGAGGTGTGCTAAATGGAGGAATAATGGAAGGAGGAAGTGATAAAGAGGTGTCATCCCACCAGCCTCAGGCTCACAGGTCGCTAGCCAGGGAGGAGTTCCAGGACGTGGCCTTGGGCGAGAGTTCGTAGTCACTGTCTGAGCGGTACAGGAAGGATTCCCGCCTCTGGCTGTGCTGGGCTGGGACCTGGACGACCCGGCCAAGGCCAGGCCCGGCCTGAGGGTCCAGGGCGCTTCTTCCGCACGAGAGCCCATTTTCCAGGTCAAAGCTGAAGGCAGAGGAGGCGTGGTCAGAGCCGAGGGTGGTGGCCGGCACCTAATCTGTCACGTCCTCCTTGGGGAGGGCGTGGGGGGCTGGGCAGCAGTAGCCTACAGTTTGTCCACCTGCCCCGCAGTCACACCCCTACTCGGGGACCCCGTGCCCCTCACGTCTCTGTCTCCGCTTCTGGGACTAATCCGGACTCCAGGACGTGAGTTTCAGACCTGTCCCCAAGTGGCTATGTGACCATGGGCAGGTCTCAGCCCTGCTCTGGACACCAACCACGCTGTCTCTGACATGGGCGTGGTACACTCCTTCCCCGAGGGCGCTTTTAGGTGTTAGCCCAGCCCCTGAGGACGCGACTGCGCTCCCATGTACAAGGGAGGGAACGGGTCCAGGTTGCATGGTAAGATCACGGGGACTGGAAACGACTTCCTGGGCCCTCCTCTCTGGAGGGGGCCTGGGTCCCGCCTCGGTCGGGTACACGCCAGGGTTCCTTTCACCCGGGGAGGCCCCGCCCCCAGCCAGCTTCGGCCACGGCCTGGATCATCTGGCCCCACCCTCAGCTCACCGGGCTCCGCCCCAACCTTGTAGACCACGCCCCCCACTCGCCCGGCCCCGCCCTCAGTTGCCCACTCCCTTGCTTCATTTTCGGCCTGACGGCTCTGCCTGTTGTCTTCCGCCTCCGAGCCTTGCACAGGCTGTGCCCTCTGCCCGGAGCATCGTCATCCACACAACGCCCCCGTTCCGGGCAATCCCCAATCCCCGCTCTCAGCCCTGTCTCTCCCTCCGGCCACCCTGACTGGGAAAGGGGCATCTACACCCCTCCTCTCGGAGTCAGAGGTCAGAGAAATAGTGGGAGGGGGCGTGGGGCAAGAACAGAGGGGCAGGAGGGGGAGTTAGCAACAGGGAGGGGGGCTGCCTGTCGGTCACGGGCTTTTGAGAAAAAGGCAGGCAGGAGAGGCGGAGACAGGGAGACATTGGGGGCCGCCCAGGACTCGGGGCTCCTGGCCAAGCGCCAGTGTCCACCTGGTCCCGCGCCAGGTCACCCCATCCCAGTCCACGGGCCGGGATCGGCGCCTGCCGGAAGACTCCGAGCAGGGCATTCGGCCCAGACCGGGCTGGGGGTGGGGGATTCGGCAGGATTCGGTCCGGCTGGGTCAGGTACGGCCGGGTTTGACTAAGTTCGGTCCGATCACACAGGGTTGGGCCTGGTCCAGAAGAGTTCGTTCGGGTGAGTTTGGTATGGTTCGGCTACGTCCGATCGCGCTCGGACAGGTTCGGATGTATTCGGGTGTGTTCGGCTATGTCCGTCTGCGCTAGGTTTTTCAAGAAAGTCCGGCTGGCGCTCGGGCCGAGTCGAGCATATTCGGCTTACTCCGGCCTCACTCGGGTGCATTCGGGCGTGTTCGGCTATGTTCGGGTTCGGCGGCTCCAGAAGCTCCCTGCCACCCTTGCGTCCCAGCTCCCGCTTCGTGACGTCACCCCAAGGGGCGGAGCTTCTTAACCCTTCCCTGCCCGGGTGTGGGCGCGGTGGCTGACAGAGAGAGGCTCTTAGGGGCGCGCTAGCGGCAGCGATACCCCAAACCTGCCCTCCGAGGGGGAGGCCCGGGGGTGGCGACCCCCAACCCTCCCTCGCCTCTCGCCAGAGGTTCTGGGAGGCACACCTGTGGATAAACAGGAAAACTGAGGCCGGGAGAGGCCACAGGGTGCTGGGTTCGAATCCAAGGATCGAGTGCAGAGGATTCAGGGCTGGGCTGGGGTTTTCTCGCCGCGGGGGAAGCTGTTTTTCTTCTTGCTCTGAACTTAGCCGGGAGCGGCGGGGTCAGGCCGCGGTTCCATGACGCGGGCGGCGCGGGGCGAGGTCGCCCGGACTGTGGAACCGCCCGTCTGTCCATAGGTTGAGGCACGCGGGCCTTGGAGGGACCCGCCCTCCTCCTGGGCTCCCTCAGGGACCACGTTCACGACTGCTCTCCCCCTCCCTACACCCCGCCAGCTGTCACTGGCCCTGTGACCTTGGAGAAGGGAACCTCCAGTCTGAGCTGCCAGGTGCCAAATCATCAAGCGGGTGCGAATGCGGCACGAACCAAGCGCGCCCCGCCTCCGACCCCAGCCTCGCCCGCGCGGCACGAGGTCCCCGCCTCCTGAAGGGCCGGGATTCGAGCCCACAGCGCTGGCCTGAGTCCCTGGAGGACGCAACCGAGTGGGGCCGCGCAGAGCCGGGGCGCGGTCAGCGCGGGTCCACTCTCAGCCCGGCACACGCAACTCGCCCTTTACACTGCGAACACCCTGCCCCGAAGGACCTATCAACGCAGGTCTCCCTCCGTGGACACGAGGCCTCAGCGTGAGGCCCCGCGCCGTCTCGTTGCGGGCGCCCGGACAGATGCAGGGAGAGACCAGGGGAAGGAGAGAGCCTCCCGCCTCCCCTCTCCGCCGGGACGCTCGGCCCGCCTGACCTGGCCGGCCGGGGTCAGGAGGAGACGTGAGCCTCAGCCTGTCCCGGAGAGGGACAGACGGCTGGTCCCCCGGGCACGTGTCCAGGCAGCGGACGGAGGGAGACAGATAGATGGAGAAAGAGAGAGACAGAGTCACCAACTCCGAGAGACAGAGATGGGGCAGGGGGAGAGAGATACAGAGTGAGTGAGGGAGAAGCAGAGCGCCCATGCCGTGACCCCGGCCCGGCCCGCTGTCCCCGATTCTGCCCTTCCCACCTCCAGCCCGGCGGTCCCGGGGCCCCCCGCCAGGCCCTCCGTCTCGCCTCACCACAGCGGATGGGCCACGGTGAAGCGCCGCTGCAGGCGGATGCTCTGGTTCACCAGGAGCTTCCTGAAGAGCCCGGGGGAGCCGCGCGGGGAGCCCCGGGGGGAGCTGGGCCCAGGGGCTGGGGCGGGCGCCGGGGGCCCCTGCATCGCCAAGACCGGATGGAGGCTGGACCGAGCGCGGGCTGCGCGGGACCTTTTCTGGACAGCCGCGGGGGCGGGGCCCGGCGGGGAGGGGGCAGAAGGCGCAGCCGCCCCGCCCAGCGGCTGGACCGCTCCGGGACGCCCCCAGCGGGACAAAAGGGGAAACCGAGGCACGGAGCTGGACGCGACTCTCTGCTCCCTCTCTTTGGGGGCGGCCCCATGGGGCCCAGAACCCGGATCTTAACACACTTCCCTCTGCCAACATGCCCTGCATTAGGGCAGCTTGCTGGGCTGTTAACTTGGCTGAAGAGGGAGATGCGGAAGTCAGAAAGGGAAGTGCCCTCTACGATGAGGGTGTCACCGAGCTCGGAGTGTGCCCGGAGAGCCTGCCCGGATCCCACACAGTGTTTCCAGTCTCCCTCTGCCCATTTTCTAGATGGAGAAACTGAGGCCTGGAGCCACGAATGGGCTGCCCAGAAACTACACATCCTTCATCCTTTGCCAGGTGGGGAAACTGAGGCCTGGAGAGAGGCGGGAACAGGCAAAGGCTTCATTGCAGGGCAGCGGGGCTCGAACCCAGCTCCCCTCTCCCAATCCCCCTGCTCAAGTCCCCGCATGGCCCCACTGGCTCTGACACTCCCCAGGCCCCATTTCTGGATCCTTTCCCCTCTCCTGCTGTCTCCATCAGACAAACATCCGCACTCCACTCCTGCCAGGCTTCCCGCTCTGTGGAGCGTCAGCTGCCTCCCCCTGCCCCAGTTAGGGCCCTGCAGGGCCACCTCTGGTGTCTGCGGGGTTTCAGGGGTCTGTACCAAGTGCTCTACCCTCGGAATGCTGGGGTCAGGGCGGCCCTGCCCCGTTCTACTGAAAAGGAAGCCAAGTCTCAGAGCGTGTCAACCCAGAACACCCAGTCACAGGAGGAGGCAACAAGGCCCAGGGAGGCTGCTTGTGCCCTTGCTGGGAGAGGACATCCCCCTGCCTGGGCCTTGCTCGGGGGACTGCACAAGTTCTGGGGTCCCCAGACAAATGACACTCACATTTCTGGCACTCCTGGGGGAACATACAGTTCCAGGCCGTCAGGCTTCAATGGGGGAGCCTTAGTGGGGGAGGAGACCCTGCCTCTCTCTTGGCCTCCTGACCACACGATTGTCTCCACTGTACAGATGAGAAAATGGGGCACAGAGAGGGGTCCCAGAAGGATGGAGAGGCTCAGGGATCTTGCTGGGAACCCCCTCCTGCCCCCGTGGCCCTGCAACCGGACGCCTGGTGGGAACCAGACTCGCTGTCCCTAAGACGAAAATACCATCTGTAGCTGCTGTGGCTGGACCTAATTATAGCCAGTCCCCAGGGCATAGAGGCCGCCAGGCACGGCCTGGCAGAGACGCTGGGGCCGGGGTCCCAGGAGCCTGGACGCTACCACAGTCGCGTGGGAGGGGCTTGTAACGGTCTCACGTCCCCGAGGAGGAACTGAGGCACAGAGATTCAGGAAGTGAAGGCCCAGACATGAAGTGGAAGGTTAAGACTAAACACATCGACACAAACTGAGCGCTTCTGACTCGCAGAGCACTGAGCCAAGGCAGCATGGAAAAGTCATTTGATTTTCGGAGCAACTTTATAAAGCCGAGACTACTACACTCATTTCGCGGATGGGAAAACTGAGGCACAGAGAAGTGTGTTCTTTTGCCCAAGGTCACAGAGCCACAAGTGGTAGTGCCAGGGTCACTCAACCTCAGCCACGGCCTCCCCAGCCTGTGCTCCCCTACCTAGTGCTTAACTGGCGCTCTCCCTCTGCAGTCCCAGAGGCTACTCTGCCATTGATGTTTCATTAATAGATTCAACTTTAAATATTTTATTAACAGTTCTAACAGTAAAGTGTTACTAATAGCTTTCTGGATGGAGAAACTGAGCCACAGAGCTGAGACTCAGCATTTGAAGCCTGGCCTGCCCGACCCCGGGAGGCCCCACACCCCACCGGGTGAGGGGGTGAGGTGGAAGGGGGGGTGGACACGAGGCCTCCATCCTGACTTTGTCCCTGCACACTGTGTGACCTGAGGAGGTGCCCAGGAATCTCTAGTGCCCTTAGCACATCACTGCCTCGATTTCCCTCCTTTGAGTATCCCCTCCCCAGGAAGGCACTTTTCTCCTCTGCCACTAGGTGGCCCCAGCAAGACAGGAGGTCGGTGCTGTTATGCCCATTTTACAGATGGGTAAACAGAGGTCTGGAGAGAACTTGCCCAAGTCCCTGTGGAGAGTCTAGACAGAGAGAGGAGGGTGGGGCTGAGTCATGTGTGTAGATGCTCACAGGGGTCAGATGTTACCTTCCTCTGCTCCACACCCTCCCGTGGCTCCCCATTGCCCTCACATCTGAATCCACACCTCCCCAGAGATCCCGTGTGGCCTGACCCCTACCAACCTCCCCCCCACCTCTTCTTGGCTCACTCTGCTCCAGCCTCATGCCCCCTCCTTGCTGTTACTTGAAGGCTCATCCCAGGTAATGCCCTTCCCCTGCTGACTCTTCATCTTTTAGGTCACAGCTGGAGCATCACCCCCTCCAGGAAGCCCTCCCTGACCAGCCAGGTAAATGTTTTCAGAGCACTCTCCTCTCACTGGTACAATTTCACATTTACTGTCAGAATTATTTGATCTGCATCTGCCTTGCTCACCAGCCCCTTAAGGGCAAGACCTTGCTCCCAGCTGTGCCCTTAGTGCCTGGCACTCAGTAGGTGGTCAATAAATGCTGTTGAGATGAATAGAGAACCTCCGCTGCCACCTTCCAGCCACACTGATCTGTGTTCAGCTCCTCGTACACCTGATCCCCTTGAGTCTGAAGCTTTGCACATTCTGTTCCTTCTGCTTGGCATACCCTTCCCTGCACTTCCCCTGGCTAACTTCTCTTCATCCTTCAGGTTCATCCTTAGATGCTACCTCTTCTAAGCAGTGTTTTCTCACCCGCTACCCCTCCCTGCTGGGTCAGAAGCCTCCTCTGGGCTCCCACAGTGCCCTGATCTCTCCCCACACAACACTCTGTGCTGTGTCCACCTGGGATAAGTGTCTCCGCCATCAGCCTGTGAGCACCTGCTTGCCCATGGCTGTGTCCCCGGTACGGGGTCTGGCACACAGTGGGTGCTTAATACATGCTTGCTGAACAAGATGCTAGGACCCTCCCAGACCCATGTGATCTGCCCGGGGTGGTGGGGAGGAGAGCCGTGGCTGGGGGCTGTGCTCCAGCACAAGCTTGTGACAAAGTGCCACAAGTACAGATCGGTTTGCATCTCACTGTTGACTCTGGGGCTCAGGGAAGCACTGCAGCTTGCCCGAAGCACACGGCAGGCAGGTCGGCCTTGAACCCAGCTTCCCTGAGGGCTGACCCCTTCCCCTGTGTCAGCATATATGGACAGCACACGCGCACACACACCTGTGCTCACAGGAACTCAATCCATCACTCCTGCCTTCCAGAGCCACGTGGGGTCTCCCCCCAGATGGGCCCAAACCAAGTCTCTGTTCTTTCTTGACGATGGAAAATCATGAGTCACCAGGAGAGGGAGCAGGAGGAGCTGAGGGCTGGGGGGTCAAGGAGCCTGCTGGGTCACCTGGGAACAGCTCCAACCCCTCCGGGCCGTGGGCCCATATGCCCCAGACACCTCCCAGGGCTGGAGGGCCAGGCTGGAGGCATTAGGCCAGGCTTGTTGATCAAGTAAGAAGCCAGTGGCCGCAGGAGGTCCTTGGACTAAGGTGGGAGAAAATCGAGATCCAGAGAGGAAAGCGACTCACAGAGGTTGTCCAGCCTGGCTTCACACCCAGGACTCTAGGTCTGGATGCTGTGGCTCCTCCTCCCATCCAAGGAGGGCCTGGGGCTCCTGGCCCGGCTCCTCCTGGCCCACTTTTGGAGACTGCCACCTCAGGCCCCTGTTTCTCTGTCTCATCACCCACCCACCCCCCACCCCCGCCGTTTATGCGAAACAAGATAAGCAGCTCCTCCCCTCTTCCCCACCCCACCCTTTCTCATGTGGAAGGAACACCCTATGCTCTGGCTCCCCAGAGGCTTCCCCTCCTCTGGCAGGGGCAGGGGGCAGGGCAGGGCGGTGGTGGTGTAAAGGCAGGACAGGCTGTAAAGGAGGCTCCTCCCCCAGCGCTGGGGACAGCCCTCCCTGGCCCTCTCATACACCCACCCCATGGTCCCCTCAGACGCTTGCCGTGGCCACAAACCCCACAAACACCTGAGGATACTCCAAGGGCTGGAAGACCCTCGGACACTCAACTGGGTCACAGCAAGGACAGTCATGCCCCGCCACACACCCACGGGCACCACAAGGAGAAACTCACAGGCAGGTATACAACTGGTGTACACACACCCAAACACATCCGGTCACTCACAGAGACACAGCCGGCTGTGGACACTCACACAACAGGTCAGAGCACACTGGGTTGCAACTACTGACTCACACACACACTCGGACGCAACCACACCTGTGCACACCCGGTCACACAGACCCATAAGCAGTCACGACACCCCCACCCTCCAGCTCCACCCCACGGAAAAACAGCTTCTTCCTCCAAAGCGCCAGCCTCGGCCAAACAGCAGGTACCCCCGCCCCCTGGAGAAGCAAGGACCTTCCCCCACTCCCGCCAGGCCCCGCGCGCCCCTCCCCCACGACGCGGGTGGGCCCTACCCCCGCCCACCTACCGCCCAGGGAAGGAGGTAGGCCAGGAGCGCTGCGTCTTCTCTAGCCCGGGCCGCGGGCTCCGGTCCGGCTCGCGGCCCGTGGACTTGTCCGGGTCTGAGTGGAAGCGCTGCTGGATGCGGATGGGGCGCCGGGGTTGCCGCCACAGGTGCTCCGGGGGTCTGGCTATGCCTTGGCGGCTGCGAGCGCGGCTCAGCTCGCTGCATGCCCCCGCTCTTTCTTGGACCCCCGGGGTCTCCATGCGCCTGAAGAGGGGAGCAGGGAGAGCAGAGGCGGGAGCCGTCCCCGGGAGCAAGGAGTGTCTGCACCCGGGTCGGGCAAGGGCCGCGGGTGGAGGCG